TCCAGAAGTGAAGACCCCAAGGGTTCCCAGGCTGGTGACCCTGGCAAGTCCCAAGTTCACCAAGGTTGGCCTTTCCCCATCCGGGCTGACCTGGATGCTCCCCTGGGAAAGTTCCCAGTCTGAGGGGAGACGCAGCCCCGTCCTTGGAGCCCCAGTCTGGGGGAGACACAGCCCCATTCTCAGGGAGTCCCAGTCTGAGGGAGACACAGCCTGGTGGAGCCCAGTAGGGTGACTTGTCTGGGGGATTAGGCAGGCGAGGTGGGGACATGGGGACTGTCCACAGGGCCAGCCTGCAGACTGAGGGCAGCTCAGAGCCTCTGCTGGCCTCAGCCCGCACAGCTTTAGGCCTGACCATCACATCAGAGACACCTTAGTGTGCATGAGGCAGGTGTGCAGGGTGTGCCCCACCTTAGGGCCACCTGGTAGGTACGTGAGGGGAGGTGGCGGCGGCGAGGGAAGGACTCCTGGGGCAGGGGGAGGAACTCCCAGTTTTCCAGGGACTTTAACTTCCAGGCCTTCTGGAAACAGCTGTCTGGAGGGGGCCTTGGCCACCAGTGACCTGCAAGGGGGAGATGAGGTTGGTGAGGGAGCCGAGGTGGGGGTGGGGTCACCCACGGCAGCCAGATGCTGGTCCATCAACACTGCCTAACTGCTGCTCCTCCTACCCGCCTGGCACGGCCTCAAGAAAGACCCTGGCAGCACCCTGGTGGGGTGAATTTCTATATTCCCTGTTGACTTGGGTCTTGGATTACCATCTGTCTCAACCCTCTAGATCATAAGGTCAAGGAAGGCAGGGGCATTTATTCACTCCTCTGTCTTCAGCACCTAGAACAGTGGCTAGCACATGGCAGGCACACAGCAAATGTTTATTGAGTGTGTGAGTGAACTAAAGGTCAAGTCAGGAGGGACGAGGGAGGCAGGGAACTCCAATGGAACCAGTGGGCAGCTGCCACGGGCCAGACCCTGACATCTTGTGAGGCTTTGGGCGAGGCCTTGCCCTCCTCTGGGCCCCATTTGCTCCTCTGTAGGACAGTCTGATGGTTTTCAAGGTCCTGTCCAGTGGCTCTAAAGGGGAGGAGAGGCAACATTTTCTGAGGGTCTACAGCATGCCCAGCCTGCGTCAAATGCATGACTTGAATCGTCTCATTTACATCCCCCAGGGCTCCTGAGAGGCAGCTGAGATCACTCCCAGCTCACACAGATTCGCAGAATTTAAGCTCCGGGACTCCCAAACACATACATAGGACTCAGTGGTGTGCTCTCAACCACCCCACCCTGTCCACAGGAGACTGGAAATGGCTCAGCGGGGCCACTGTGCGGAGGGGAAGGCTCAGGGACAGCCTGCAGGTCAGGAAGAGGGACAGAGAACGTTTGGGTTGGAAGGCACCCAGTCTTGAGGACGGCACTTTGGGGAAGGTCTTGGGAGCCAGAGGGAGGGAGCGCTGCAGAGATGCCATCTGCTCAGTTGTGTCCGGGGCTACTGGCCCCTCCAGAGGGGAGCAGGAGGCCCAAGCTGAAGGCCCCTCCAATACCCCTCCATCTTGCCTTCCCACCCCTCCCCCGCCTCTGTCACCCACAGCCTCGTGCACAGCCAGAGGTTGCAGAGGGACAGCTGAGCAAGACGGTTTCTGTCTTCCCCATGCACGTGGCTGGAGCGGGGCCTTGAGTGGGGGATAGGCAGTGCCAGCTGGCAGGCGCTCCATGTGGGGCCCACCACGGAGGATGCCCCGCACGATCCTGACCTCAAGGAGCTGACAGCTTCTTCCCCACAGCTGGTAGAACCTGTGCCGCTAACTCCCCAGTGAGGGCTCTCCTGTGGGATGATATTGCCTGGCGGGCTCTGTCCTCACAACCTGTCAGCTCCCACCTGCTTAGAGCGCCGCCCCTGAGGTCTCTTGCTCGGCCACCTGCCTGGTGAGGTAGCTTTTGCCCACAGCACACGGCTACTATGTATTAATACCAGCACTCTTCAAGCGACACTTATGCAATCCTGTGTCAATTTCATTTTAAATATAAGGAAGCAGAGGCAGGGAGAGGTTAAGGAACTTGTGCAGAGGAATGGAGCTGGCATGCGGGCGAGCCAAGAGTAAGCCCAGGCTGTTCTGCTCTTATCACCGACCTGTGCTGTCCATGCCACCCAGGGTCAGCTGGTTGCCCACGAAGCAGAGGGCAGGGATTTCAGGGCATGTGGAAACATGGTTGCCATGACTCAGGCCACCTCTTGCTGCCCTCCTAGAAAGTCTTAATCATAATAGAAGGAAATCAACAAAGTTCATAGAAATGGAACCACAAATGGTCCATGAGCACATCCAAAGATGCTCAACTTTTCTCATGATAAGAAAAATGGAAATGAAAACACCCCAAGATACCATTTTTCAAAGATCAGGTTGGCAAAGATCAAAAGTCTGACCTGTGTGGATGTAGCTGTGGAGGATGGGTTCTCCTGAACATGGCTGGTTGGGGTGTGATTGTGAACCCCCAACCCCCGTAGGAGAGAGCGGAGGAGAAATATAGCAGGTATCTGGCAAGATCACCCTCTGATGCAAGGATCCCTCTTCAAGGAATTTACCTGCTCCATATAGTAACAATATGCAAAATGATTGATTTCCGTGTTTGTATTAACAAGAGACTGGGAAACACCCAAACTTCCATCAGTATGGAATTGGCTAGGATCCATGGGCCATCCACACAATGGGAATATCATGCAGCTCATTAAAAAAAAAAAAAAATCCAGGACACTCTCCACTGACAGATAAGAAAAGATCTCAGCTGGTGTGGTGGCTCACACCTGTAATCCTAGCACTTTGGGAGGCTGAGGCAGGTGGATCACTTGAGGTCAGGAGTTCGAGACCAGACTGGCCAACATGGCAAAACCTTGTCTCTACTAAAAATACAAAAATTAGCTTGGCGTGGTGGCGCACCACTGCCCACCTGCCTGGGTGACACAGCAAGACTTCATCCCCTGCCCCTGCCAAAAAGAGATCTCCAAGATATTGCTAAGGGAAAAAAGAAGGGTTGAAGACAGTATGTATATAGTGTTCTCATTTGCAGTTAAAAAAACCCAGGAAAAATGAAAACATGTTTGTTTGTCCATGCGTGAAGCCTCTCTGGTAGAGCTGGCCACAGCTGTGAGGACCTGGAGGCCGAGAGGTGAGGAGTGGGAGGCATTTTGCATTAAAGAGATTTTATTTAGAAATGAAACTTGGACATCTTTTAAGAGATTCGTTACCATTTCAATGAACATTGTTTAAAATAATCTCTATTGGAAACAATTATGCTTTCTATGCTTCTGTTCTAAAAGTCAATTATGTAATGCATTGTTCACATGCAACTTTTTTTTTTTTTTTTGAGACAGAGTCACTCTAACCCAGGCTGGAGTTATACAGTGGAGCAGCGGCTCAATCTTGGCTCACTGCAACCTCTGCCTCTTGGGTTCAAGTGATCTTGTGTCTCAGCCTCCCAAGTAGCTGGGACTACAGGTGTGCATCACAACGCCTGGCTAATTTTTTGTATTTTATTAATTGTAGAGACGAGATTTCACCATGTTGCCCAGACTGGCTTCAAACTCCTGACCTCAGGTCATCTGCCCACCTGGGCCTCTGAAAGTACTGGGATTACAGGTGTGAGCCACCACGACTGGCCTACATGCAACTTTTTATTTAGATGACAAGCACACAGTCAAATGCACAAATCTTTTTTTAATTTTTAATTTTTTTTTGAGACAGAGTCTTGTTCTGTTGAGTGCAGTGGTGTGATCATAGCTCACTGCTGCCTCGAACTCCTGGGCTCAAGTGACCCTTTTACTTCGGCATCCCAAAGTGCTGGGATTACAGACATGAGCCGCCATGCCTAGCCCAATGCATAAATCTTAAGTGTGCAGCTCAGTGAGTTTTGACATATAAAACACCTGGGTAATCACATCTAGGTCAGGTAGAACATACCCAGCCTGCCTGGGGGAAGGGGAGACTTTTCACCGTAAAGATCCCTTTGGAATTCTAAACCCATGTGAATGTATGGTAAGCTCTAAACAAATATACACGGCCGGGCGCGGTGGCTCAAGCCTGTAATCCCAGCACTTTGGGAGGCCGAGGCGGGTGGATCACGAGGTCAAGAGATCGAGACCATCCTGGTCAACATGGTGAAACCCCATCTCTACTAAAAAATACAAAAAATTAGCTGGGCATGGTGGTGCGTGCCTGTAATCCCAGCTACTCAGGAGGCTGAGGCAGGAGAATTGCCTGAACCCAGGAGGCGGAGGTTGCGGTGAGTCGAGATCGCGCCATTGCACTCCAGCCTGGGTAACATGAGTGAAACTCCGTCTCAAAACAAAACAAAACAAATATACACAAAAATATAGCAGTGCAGAAGATATGCTGGGACCCTGCCCGTCAGCCTGGGGAACCTGCTGGCAGCTGTGTCCCTCAGGTGAGTCGAGTGCTCCCACCTGGCTGCGTGTGGAGTCCTCCAGGGCAAGGATTGTTCTTGCCTTGGGTCTCCAACCCCTGCCTCTGCACAGGCCCTGGGCCAGAGCAGGCCATCTGAAACAGCTGGCTGGAGGGGGCCTTGGCTGCCAGTGACCTGTAAGGGGGAGATGAGGTTGGTGAGGGAGTTGTGGGCATCACCCTTGGCAGCCAGATGCTCAATCATCAAAGCACCCGAACTGCTGCTCCTTCTACCCACCTGGCATGACCCCAAGAAAGGAACTGGCAGCACAGAGTGGTGGGTGAATTTCTATATTCCCTGTTGACTTGGGTCTTGGATTACCATCTGCCTCAACCCTCTAGACCATAAGGTTGAGGAAGGCAGGGACATTTATTCACTGCTCTGTCACAGTGCCCAGAACAGCAGCTGGCACATAGCAGGAACACAGCAGATATATAGCAAGTGTGCAAGTGAATGAGTGAATGACTATCTTAGGATTCCAGAGGTAGGGGATGCGAGGAAGGGGCCCTGGTGAGAAGCCCAGGAAGCCCATCTCCAGCTGCCTGTTTCCCTTCCAGTCGAATCAAGAGCAACGTGGACGGGCGGTACCTGGTGGACGGTGTCCCCTTCAGCTGCTGCAATCCCAGCTCACCGCGGCCCTGCATCCAGTATCAGATCACCAACAACTCGGCACACTACAGTTACGACCACCAGACGGAGGAGCTCAACCTGTGGGTGCGCGGCTGCAGGGCTGCCCTGCTGAGCTATTACAGCAACCTCATGAACTCCATGGGTATCGTCACGCTCCTCATTTGGCTCTTTGAGGTAAGCCCTGGGCCCGCTGGGGGTGGTGGGAGAGGGAGCCATTGGGGTCTAATGGGGGCCAGGCCTGGAGCACTTGCCAAGGAGAGAGGGCTTGAACCCCACCCAGTGCCTCCACCTTTTGTATTTATTTATTTATTTATTCATGTATTTATTTATTTTTTGGTTTCTTTCCCACCACTTACAAAATTTTTTAAAATTGAGGTGAGCTTTATAAAAGGTAAACAATTTGGTGTCATCTAGTTGATTCACAATGTTGTGCAACCGTCTCTACCTACTTCCAAAAGATTTCATCAGTCCCCAAGAAAATCTCACATCCGTGAAGTAGTTACTACCTCCCAAACTGCTCCCCAGTCCCTGGCAACCATTCTCTGGATTTGTGTATTTTGGACATTTCATATAAATGAATTCATACAACAGGTAACCATTTACGTTTTGCTGCTGCTGCTTCTTCTTTTTTTTTTTTTTTTGAGACGGAGCCTTGCTCTGTTGTCCAGGCTGGAATGCAATGGCGCCATCTCGGCTCACTGCAACCTCCACTTTCTGGGTTTAAGCGATTCTCCTGCCTCACCCTCCCAAATAGCTGGGATTACAGGTGCATGCTACCATTTTTTGTATTTTTAGTAGAGACAGGATTTCGCCGTATTAGCTAGGATGGTCTCGATCTTCTGACCTCGTGATCTGCCTGTCTCGGCCTCCCAAAGTGCTGGGATTACAGGTGTAAGCCACCGCACCCAGCCTGTTTGGCTTCTTTTAGCTAGCATGTTTTGGAGGTTCATCTGTGTCCCTGCTTTTTGGTTCTGAGGTTGTAGAAACTTTTTTTTTTTTTAAACGGAGTTTCGCTCTTGTTACCCAGGCCGGAGTGCAATGGCGCGATCTCGGCTCACCGCAACCTCCGCCTCCTGGGTTCAGGCAATTCTCCTGCCTCAGCCTCCTGAGTAGCTGGGATTACAGGCACACGCCACCATGCCCAGCTAATTTTTTGTAGTTTTAGTAGAGACGGGGTCTCACCGTGTTGACCAGGATGGTCTCGATCTCTTGACCTCATGATCCACCCACCTCGGCCTCCCAAAGTGCTGGGATTACAGGCTTGAGCCACCGCGCCCGGCGGTTGTAGAAACTTTTAACCTCTCTGTTATAAGAGGTGACAGCACATAGCTTTGGGGACTATTGGGAGGCAACGTGTCCAGCATGTGTGGGTGTTCAGGAAATGGGAACTGTGGATTTGTGCTTTTTGAGATGCCAGTCACCATTTACCTGTTAGTCTAATGATGTGCGGGTTCATCTTCTCTGCAGTGCTAATTCCTCTGTGTCTATAGGGCTTGCAATGTAAGCAAGTCCTCGGTGAGTATGCTGAATTCACTCCTCCATTAAAGAGATATTTATTTTTTATTGTTATGATTTAAAATTGTTATTTTATCTTTAGAGACAAGGAGAAAAACTCACTCTGTGGCCCAGGCTGGAGTGCAGTGGTGTGATCGTAGCTCACTAGAGCTTTGAACTCCTGGGCTCAAGGGCTCTTCCCATCTCGGCCTTCTGAGTAGCTAGGACTATAGGCACATGCAGAATAGCTAAAAAAAAAAAAAACAGCACACCCTGAGTCATACTCTGTAGAGTCTTTTGTAGAAATGGGGTCTTGCTATGTTGCCTAGGCTGCTAACTCCTGGCTTCAAGCAATCCTCCCACCTCGGTCCCCTAAAGTGCTGGGATTACAGGTGTGTGCCACTGCACCTGGCCAAGACATAATTCTTTTTTCTTCTTTTTTTTTTGAGATGAAATCTTGCTCTGCCACCCCATCTGGAGTGCAATGGCACAATCTCAGCCTGCAACCTCTGCCTGCAAGGTTCAAGCAATTCTCCTGTCTCAGCCTCCTGAGTAGTTGGGATTATAGGCGCGCGCCACCACGCCCAGCTAATTTTTGTATTTTTAGTAGACATGGGTTTTCACCATGTTGGCCAGGTTGGTCTTGAACTCTTGACTTCCAGTGATCTGCCTGCCTTGGCCTCCCAAAGTGCTGGGATTAGAGGCATGAAGACCACACTGGCCAGAGATGTTTCTTAAACACGTACCTGTATGCCAGGCACTGCTCTAGGTGTTGAATGAGAGCCTGTTTCTTAGTAAATGAAGTGGCACGGTGACTCAGGGCACCTGCTTTGAGCTACTGTGACAGCAGAAAATAGAAACTCCAAAATCCCAATGTGCAGAAGTCCATTGAGGAGATTCCCAAAGATTCCTTTAAATGAGCTGTCATCCTAATGCTATCAGCCAGTGTATCCTGCCTGTGGCTGATAAACACCTCCTCTAACTCGCCACATTAAACTAAAGGGTGACTGTATGTCCAGGAAGGCTTCTTTTTTTTGAGATGAAGTTTTGCTCTTGTTGCCCAGGCTGGAGTGCAATGACACGATCCCAGTTTACAACGACCTCCATCTCCCGGGTTCAATCGATTCTCCTGCCTCAGTCTCCCGAGTAGCTGGGATTATAGGCGCCTGACACCACGCCAGGCTGATTTTTGTATTTTTAGTAGAGATGGGGTTTTACCAGGTTGGCCAGGCTGGTCTTGAACTCCTGACCTCAGGTGATCTGCCTGCCTTGGCTTCCCAAAGTGCTGGGATTACAGGCATGAGCCACCACACCCGGCCAAAGCTTCCTTTTAGTGTTGAGGCAAACACAGCATATTCATAACCACTTATTGGTCGCTGACTCCCTGACACAGAGCCTTGAGTGGGTAGAATGAGGAGAGGAGTATACTGCTGGAAGCTTAGATGTCCACATTCCCTGAAAACGCATGAAAAGAAGACCGAAAGCATAAAAGAAGTCAGCAGGGCCAGGAGCGGTGGCTCACACCTTTAGCCACTTGTTTCTACACATCCGTGCCCTCCCCCTACCTGGTACTGTTCTAGGTGCTGGGATTCTGGATGAGCTAGGTGAGTAAGGGCCATCCGTGCCCTCAGGGAGCAGCTTCCTCCTCCTGTAGAGTTTGCTATGCCATACAGAGAAGTGGAGGACAGCAAACCAGGAATTTGTGTAGAAACAAGTGGCTAACAGAATATATTACAGAAAAGTGAAAAACAGGCCAGATGCAGTGGCTCACGCCTATAATCCCAGCACTTTGAGAGGCCGAGGCGGGCGGATCACCTGAGGTCAGGAGTTCGGGACCAGCCTGGTCTACATGGTGAAACCCCGTCTCTACTAAAAATACAACAATTAGCCAGGTGTGGTGGCAGGCACCTGCAATTTCAGCTACTTGGGAGGCTGAGGCAGGAGAATCGCCTGAACCCGGGAGGCAGAGGTTGTAGTGAGCTAAGATCGCACCATTGCACTCCAACGTGGGGTACAAGAGCAAGACTTTGCCTCAAAAAAAAAAAAAGGAAAGAAAAAAGAAAAGTGAAAACAATAAGCTGATTAATCATCAACTCAGCTACAGCTAACTCTTCTGTTGGTCCTTACTGTGCATCAGGCACTGTGGTGGTGTTTGCTGGAGTGCAATGGTGTAATCATGGCTCACTGCAGCCTCCATCTCCAGGGCTCATGAGATCATCCCATCTTGGCCACCCGAATACCTGAGTAGCTGGGACTACAGGCATGGGCTGCCATGCCCAGCAATTTATTTTATGTTATTTATTTTATTTTATTTATTTATTTATTTATTTTTGAGACAGAGTTTTGCTCTTGTTACCCAGGCTGTCAGGCTGGAGTGCAATGGCGCGATCTCGGCTCACCGCAACCTCCGCCTCCCGGGTTCGGGCAATTCTCCTGCCCCAGCCTCCTGAGTCGCTGGGATTACAGGCAGGCGCCACCATGCCCAGCTAATTTTTTGTATTTTTAGTAGAGACGGGGTTTCACCATGTTGACCGGGATGGTCTCGATCTCTTGACCTCGTGATCCACCCGCCTCGGCCTCCCACAGTGCTGGGATTACAGGCTTGAGCCACCGTGCCCGGCTTATGTTATTTATTTTTAGTAGAGATGAGGTCTTGCTCTGTTGCCCAGGCTGGTCTCGAACTCCTGAGTTCAAGCAATCCTCCCCCTGCCTTGGCCTCCCAAAGTGCTGGGATTACAGGCATGCACCTTTGCACCTGGCTTGTGTGTTTTACACATTTTTTTTTTTTGAGACGGAGTCTCGCTCTGTCGCCCAGGCTGGAGTGCAGTGGCGCTATCTTGGCTCACTGCAACCTCTGCCTCCTGGGTTTAAGTGATTCTCTTGCCTCAGCCTCCCGAGTAGCTGGGACTAAGGCGCCTGCCACAACGCCTGGCTAACTTTTTGGTTTTGTTTTGTTTTCCTCCTTACCATCTCCCCCTTTTTTTTTGGTATTTTAGTAGAGACGGGGTTTCACCGTGATGCCCAGGATAGTCAAACCCCTGAGCTCAGGCAATCTGCCCGCCTCGGCCTCCCAAAGTGCTAGGATTACAGGCGTGAGCCACTGCACTCGGCCAGTGTTTTACACATATTAAAGTGTCACAGCATCCACACAAGGCAGAGGCCATTTCATCTGAAAATCTGTAAACCAGATGAATAAAGTGAGGTTTCTGGTCACACGGCTGGCTAAGTGCCAGGGCTGGGTTTAAACCCAGGCATTTTGGCACCAAGTCTGCACACAGTGAATGCTAGTGAACAAATTCAAATTATTGTGCCAGAGTCCAATCGTCTTGGTGCTCATTAAAATAATGGAAGGGGCGGGCACAGTGGCTCACACCTATCATCTCGGCACATAGGGAGGCTGAGGCGGGTGGATCTCTTGAGGCCAGCAGTTCAAGACCAGCCTGGCCAACATGGGGAAACCACGTATCTACAACAACAACAAAATACAAAATTAGCCAGGCGTGGTGGTGAGCGCCTGTAATCCCAGTTATTCGAGAGGCTGAGGCACGAGAATTCCTTGAACACAGGAGACAGTTTGCAGTGAGCCAAGACCATGACACTGCACTGCAGCCTGGGTGACAGAGCGAGACTTGTTTCCAAAAAAAAAAAAAAGGAGATACCACACATCAGATGCAGAAAAGGAGGTGACCTCTTAATTCCACCCCAAAGAAGTTACTGAACCACCTAATATGCGCTAAGCAATGGGGTGTGGAGGGGACCGAGGTGAAGGAGCCCAGGAATAATACACCTGGGATGGGGCGACCTGAGGGGCTGGGGAGGGAGAATGAGCCGCAGGGGAGCTCACCATGGGCTGAAGATGAATTAACAGATGAACATGGAGAGGAACAAGGTTCTAGGCAGAGAGCATAGCAGTTGCTAAAGACCTGGAGGGGAGAAAGTATTGGGAATGGGCAAATCCAAAGCAGTCCAGGGTGGCTGGAAAGGGAGGAGGAGAGGGGTCTGCGATGAGGCTGGAGAAGAGTCAGGCGTGTTGGGCACTGAGGGCAGGGTGGCGTGGAGCAGGCTGTCGCCAACCCACATTCCACAGTGCTCAGGTGGAGTCCTCTCTGGGACCCTCATTTTGAGGCGCCTGTGGTTTCCTGATAGTCCAGCTCCCAGCAATTCTCCCAGATTGCCTCTAAACCTCCTCTCCCGCCACAGGTCACCATTACAATTGGGCTGCGCTACCTGCAGACGTCGCTGGACGGTGTGTCCAATCCCGAGGAACCCGAGAGCGAGAGCGAGGGCTGGCTGCTGGAGAAGAGCGTGCCCGAGACCTGGAAGGCCTTTCTGGAGAGTGTGAAGAAGCTGGGCAAGGGCAACCAGGTGGAAGCTGAGGGCGCAGATGCAGGCCAGGCCCCAGAGGCTAGCTGAGGGCCCCGGGGCCCCTCCCCACCTGAACACTGAAAAATAGTGGACTCCAAGAACACGGATCTCCCCCTCATCCAACTCTGAAAGTCTGAATCTCCCAAGGAGGGCACCATCTTACAGGGCATCATGTTACCACCTCTCCTTGATGGTGGAATTTAAGTTTAGGGTCCCTCAAAGCATTTGACAAACAGTTGTTGAATGACTGACCCAAAATGTGAATGAATGAGCTCCCCTCAGGCCCACTGCCCTAGGATATGCCCCCATGGTGACTCAGGGGCGTCTCTCAGATTTAGTCCCCACTATGGGTCACTGGCTGTATCTGAGGGCTGCTCTCCTTTAGAGTTTGCCTCTTATGAGCTCCATGTTGCTTCAGTCTACATCCAAAGTGTCACTTGGTGCATAAGCGCAGAAATCTGAAAAATAAATGGCCATGCTGTCTTTTTTTTTTTTTTTAATGCCAAGATTGACAGGTTGGCCATTTTGTTTGCTTAATGCCAGAAGTTGGGGGAAAGTTACACTTTTCTAAGAGTAACGGGTTCTGAAAGCACTGAGGGCTCTAAACAGGAATTCTTAAATCATGGAGCAAGAGAATTTTAAGGCAGGAGATTATTTCCCCCACCAAAAACAGAGTGAAAGGCCTGCTTTTGTGTCCCATTCACATGCCCTCAGTCCCTGAGTCTGGAGTGAACCATGGGTTGAGGAAGTCAGGCTGTTGGTGTGTCCCAGCCCCGGACCACCCCAACGTGCCAGGTGATCTCCTGTGGCTCATCTGTGGAAGCACTGGGGTAGGCTGCTGCCCTGCTGTGGAAGAGGAGCAAAAATCAGACATGAGTCCACCCTTTGGAGACCAGGCCTCAGCTCTTGGTGGACCCAGGAACACCCACACAGGTGGCCATGACAGCCCCACGGACACACTAATTGTCCACAGCAAAGGGCAAGGAATCCTCTGGGAGCTTCTTCTCTTTCTTCCCCCCAGATACCCATGTTGAAAAACACTATTTTTGGAATGCTTCTGCATCAAAGGAAATTCTTTGAGTTAGAATCTGATGGACTGATTCTTCAGCCCATCTTCCTGAGCTAGCAAATACAGGCATTTTTCACTTTCTTTAGGAAAGAGAAGCTTTCAGGGGAAGGAGAGAATGACTTCCCAGGCCCTGGTGACCAGACCAAGGCAGGGCCCACCATAATTCCGCCAGTTGGATGAACATTCAAGAGAGCTCATTCCTACCTGGCTGGAGACTGAAGCCAGAAGGCAAAAACCGGAAAGGGAACAGCCCATAATTTACCTCTGCTTCTGACTGATGGTGTTTGGGCATAGGTTACTTTGGACTGCGTTTGGGTTCTTTGCTGTCCTAACAACTTTAGTGTAGAGAAAATAAGACTTCTGGTGTTGCCTGGGGTATGTTCTGGGCTTAATTCTCCCAAGCAGAAGACCAGATCCAAGATGTCTGGAAACCCTGTCAGACGTTGGTCCCAAGTTTAATTAGATTTCCGAATCTTGTTGAGGCCAAGGAATGATCCACACTGAAAAATCCTGAGCTGGCCATCTTTGGCAAAGGTCCCTGAGCTCTCCCCGCCTCTCAAGAGTGCTGAGAACCTTGGTGAAAGTGCTGCTCTAGGCCCACACGTGTAATTATGCTGTGAATAGCTGTCAATAGATATTAAAAATCATACTGTATGAAAACCACTTTTGTTAAATGACTGTTTAAGCCCATTCAACAACGTATATCGCAGAATCCCCTACTAGAGCTAGTATTTGCCAAAAAAGAAAAGAAACCCACCCTAAAGGGAAGCATTGGTAATGATCATTGTTTTACACATGGCTTGGGTACCACATCGCTCCATCTTGCCATCTCTTACCTGTAAGAACAGTGACTACTATAGCAGTGACTATTGTAATATCCAGATAATCTCAGCATTTGCTAGAGTTTGAACCAGAGCTGAATACATGAAATTTTAATATAGTAATTTAGGCAAAACTGCAAACCATTTTCTCTTCTGCTCTGCCCAAAATGTATGTCCTCAAACAAGGAAATATGAGTCTCCTTTTACTTTTACTTTTTTTTTTTTAAGAGATGGGGTTTCACTATGTTGGCCAGACTGGTCTCAAACTCCTGACCTCATGATCCACCCGCCTTGGCCTCCCAAAGTGCTAGGACTACAGGCGTGAGCCACTGCACCTGGCTGGAAATATGAGTCTCTATGGGGCCGGGTTATAGGGGGCAAGTGTAAGCAACCTGAGAATCTGAAGGTTGTTGAGAAAACCTAGAGTGCATTGACCCTACCATAAAGCTGACTCCTTGGTTCAGAGCAGATGTAGGGTTAACTGCTTTTAACAGGTCTTCACAGGTAGCCAGGTAGCTGCCAGAGAAACCTGGCCCATCCCTTTTGGTCACCTACCAGTGCCCAGGAAGTCTCTACTATCAGGTTTTTGCTTGTGTGTAAATTTTTTTTTTTTTTTTTTTTTTTTGTGGAATTTTGCTCTTTTTGCCGAAGTTGGAGTGCAATGACATGATCTCAGCTCACTGCAACTTCCGCCTCCTGGGTTCAAGTGATTTTCCTGCCTCGGCCTCCCTAGTAGCTGGGATTACAGGTGTTTGCCACCACGCCCAGCTAATTTTTGTATTTTTAGTAGAGAACGGTTTTCACCATGTTGGTCAGGCTGGTCTTGAACTCCTGACCTTAGGAAATCTGCCTGCAGGAGTGAGCCACTGCACCTGGCCCCAGCCAGCTTTTAAAGTTCTGCCAGCATAGCCCTGGGATGGGGTAAGGAGTAAAGACAGGGCCTTAGGACTTTTATTTTTTTTTTTATTTATTTTTATTTTTTTATTTTTTATTTTTTTTTTGAGACAGAGTTTCACTCATGTTACCCAGGCTGGAGTGCAATGGCGCGATCTCGGCTCACCGCAACCTCCGCCTCCTGGGTTCAGGCAATTCTCCTGCCTCAGCCTCCTGAGTAGCTGGGATTACAGGCATGCGCCACACCATGCCCAGCTAATGTTTTGTATTTTTAGTAGAGATGGGGTTTCACCATGTTGACCAGGATGGTCTCGATCTCTTGACCTCGTGATCCACCCGCCTCAGCCTCCCAAAGTGCTGGGATTACAGGCTTGAGCCACCGCGCCCGGCAGGACTTTTATTTTTAAAATACTCACTCCATAGTGAAGGAACAGGCGAGGACTATCCTGAATATTTGGAAAGTTGTGTGTCCTAGAATTTGTGGCCTCAGTTCCAGAACCCACAGCTTCTTTACAACATGCTTCAAGCCCAGGACTGAGCTGCCAGCAAATAAACCCTGAGTAACCTCAATATGGGTTAATAAGATTAGGTGCTGCTCTGCACGCTCCCCTGCCCCTCCTCGTCCGGGCACCTGTTATGCTAGGCCAGCAGGTTTGCAGCTTAGCCACGGGAAGTCGTGGACCAAGATGGCTGGGGCTTTTCATTCACTACTGGCTAAAAAGATGGCTCTCAATGACAGCACAGCAGCCAGCAGCACTGAGTAAGGAAGGGAAATGTGTCTGTGAAATACTATGAAGCTCCAGGGAAGACAGAGGTGCCTTCCCAGGTCTCAGTGGATAGACTGGAAGGGGAAAACATGTCAGTCCTTAACTCCTGACAGCATTTTATCCTGTCCATCACAGAGGAGTGTAAACAGCAAAGTTAGAGATTAGAGAATGCTGAGCTCTAAGGATGGCGGCAAGTGGAGGGTTAAGATATAAGGGACAACTCCTAGCTATTTACTCAAGGGAGTGAACATTCAGGTTTGCACAAAAACCTCTCCATGAATGTTTGTGGCAGTCATCACCAAAACAATCACCAAAACTCACCCAAATGCCCTTCACCTGGCAACTGCATAGAAGTCTGTACAACGGAATACTACTCAGCAACCCAAAGGAACAAGATGGAGGACTCAAATTCATTCTTTAGTGAGAGGAGCCAGACACAGAATGCTACATTCGATATGATGCCATTTATATAACGTTCTGGAAGGGGCAAAACAAAGGGAGAGAAAAACAGTGGTAGCTGGAAGCCAGGATGAGGCAAGAAGCTCACTACGAAGGGAACTTTCGGGGATGATGGAATTGTTCTATTTCTTTGTGGCTGTTAAACTGTATGCATTTGTTAAAATGTATAAAACTGTACACTAAAAATAATCTGTTTGTAAAATATACCTCAATAAATCTAACTTAAAAAATAAGGGTAGGAACAGGCCAGGCACAGTGGTTCACACCTGTAATCCTAGCACTTTGGGAGCCTGAGGTGGGAGAATCATTTGAGCCCGAGTTTGAGACCAGCCTGGGCAACATAGCGCAACGCTGTCTACAAAAAAATTACAAAACTTAGCCAGGTGTGGTGGCATGTGCCTGTAGTACCAGCTACTAGGGAGGCTGAGGTGGGAGGATTGCTCAAGCCCAGGCTGAGACTGCAGTGAACCAAGGCTGTGCCACTGCACTCCAGCTTGGGGATCCCAACAAGACCCTGTCTCTTAAAAAACAAAAACAAAAAAAACAAGCCAAGACTAGGAACAGAGGAAGGAGTGTGTCAGAAGGGGCTTCGTGAGTTCCTGAGTTCTTTAGAGAGATACTAGCGCCACTGCACTCCAGCCTGGGGGACAGAGCAAGACTCTCTCTTCAAACCAAACCACACCACACCAAAACCAACAGTAGGAACTGAGGGAGGAGCATGTTGGAGGGGCTTCATGAGTTCCTGGAACTAAACAGAAGACTAGTGAAGGGAGTAGGCTGGGAGCAGCGTTAATGACCAGGAGGCAGGGCAAGTAAAATGGAAACCTTGCTCCTTTAGTTTGATGCTCTGAAGAGGATTTCAAAAAACAGAATTCTCACGGGCAATGATTCCCCTCGACAGTGTAGCTGCCTTTCTGTGTTTCTCTCAACAGCAGAAAGTGGGGAGTGTGTAAGGACAAGGACCTCGAGATCACCAGGTAAGGATGAGCAAGAGTTTAAATCCAGACGTAGGTCTTGGAGTTCCCTGTTTCCCAGTGATTTGAGCTCCAAAATGGTCCAGAAAGGTCACGAGCTGTCATAGCTAATGAATACGAAACTTAGTCAGCTGAAATGACGCTCACACTTTCTCTGGGAAGGTCAAGATAGTTTGGCTAATGGCCGTAATTGTCACTAATAATATAAGCCTCTTAAATTTCAAGCTAATACAGATCTCCAGCTATATATGTAGCAAGGTGACATGGGGCACATTGCTGTGGCAGTTAAGTGTGTAAAATGAAACAAAGATATATGCTAACCAAAAGTAATGCCAACACCTAAAGCATTTATTTGGATATCTTTAGACTTTTTACATATGATACATTCCAAATTTTACAAGTTGTCCACAGATATTAAAGTTATAGCCAATTTATTAAACAGATATGATTTTCCCTGATATGGAAAGCATATGTTATATAAACACTTCTAACATAAACACAAAACATGCGGAACAAATCATAAAACTGACATGATTTGTTAGGTAGGAAAGACCAACTAGCTTAACACCAGAAAATAAAAAGGTGTGTGTTGCTATTTCATGAAATCCATCCTCTCCTAGGCTCTTGGATATTCTCAGAGAATGAAATCCAGAGACACCCTCTGCTAACTCCAGGCTCCTGTGAAGTTGGGCTGGAAAGCTGGAGTATTGTTATGATTTGGTGAAAATGTTTATAATCCACTTACAGAGAGAAACCTGGTCTTATTAAACTTAAGCTTGGTGAACATATGAAAAAAAGCCAAAAGAAGCTTACCTTAAAAGCTAAAGAAACTGGATGTGACAGAGGTCAAAATAAACATTATGCCACCTACAGCCCAAACAACCAGATCTTATGTATGAAGGCCAGAAAAAGGGGGAGAGGTGGATTCAAATGTGAATTTTCTTCCTACTAGTCCTACTCTCAGCTGGATGTCAGTCCCCAGCAAGAATGGTGATGGTCATCCTCCTCTCGAGCGGGGAAGGTTCCTTCACATACTACCTTGGAGAGGAATGTGGCTTCTATATTCTCACTTCTTTTAGCCTCTGGTCTAGATTTCTGACCTTCCTGCCTTACTATGGAGCATGCCTAGCGGGTAGCTGAGTGGAACAAAACCTGTAGATGTAATTCAAAGAAAACTGACTGAAAGAGTCACTTGAATTGGTTAAAAAAATCTAAGAGCCTCTAATTACTCATTTGTCCCTTAGCCCCATCTTAGGCTCAGAATTTATTCCTCACCAAGTCTTCACTCTGCATGTATCCAAGCTCTCAGCAGTCATATATCAAATGATAGCAACTGTGTGCTACATAATAATTATGAGCTATTTTGTAAGTGGCTATTGTTCTAGGAAGGCACCTCAGTAAGAACAATGTTCAAAAAGAATCAAAAGCCTGGGTGCACAGAACATCCCAGGAATGCACTAAGTGAGCCAGCAAGGAAGCAGCAGTTTTGGTTCCAGGAAATGCTGGCTGGGTGGGAGTGGGTTCTCACCATTTTTAATGTTTGACTTTAGATGATATACTCTGCCAATTTAGCCTTAGAAATAACTAGAGAATAGTACTGTCTGAAACATTAGGATATTCTAAAAGAACATGGTTAGGAAATTAGAATACTCTTTTAGAATATCCTCCTTCTATAACTTAAGCTTGGTGAACATCTGAAAGAAAGCCAAAAGCAGCTTACCTTAAAAGCTAAAGAAACTGGATGTGACAGAGGCCAAAATAAAAATTAATTATGCCAACCACAGCCCAAACAACCAGATCTTATGAATGAAGGCCTCTCATCTAGGCATTAGGATATTCTAAAAGAATATCCTAATTTTTTAATCTACATTATCCTAATTTTACTTACTAATTCTAGAAGAATATCCTAATTTTTTAGACTGTCCTAAGTTTTTGGAAAGCCCTTTGAGTTTTCTTTTTTTTTTTTTTGCCTCAAAGCCAAAAGTCTTTCCAAAAAAAAAAAAAAAAAAAAAAAAAAAAAAAAAAAAAAAACCCAACAGCCCTGAAAAACCAGCCAGCACACTAGGAAGCCACTTTTCCCCACAGGCTACTTCTGCATGAGTGTCCCCAGCTCTCCCAGTCAATGGAGAGATGGGAACACTGCACTGCCTTGAAAATCAACCACTTTGCTCCTAGGGGGTAGGGTCCTGTCAGCAGAGGGGACACCAACCCAGTCCCAGAGTTGAGTCACTGAGAGGAACCAGGAAGTATGACCCTAGAGACTTTGTTTCCTGCCTCCGTTGAATCAGCTTCAGACCCACAGTTCACCATTATCAGTAACGTGAAATATCACATAATGGCTGGGACGATGCAGTGAGATGCCCACAAAGGGGCTGGGATCCGATCTAGGAAGAGAAGCTCCTCGCTCGATCTTAAAACCCGAGACGTTATGTTTGAGGGGCACAGTAAACAGTGCAAGAAAATCTGCTGATGGAAGATGATATTCATCAGTCCTCGGAGCCAGAAACTATAAAACTGGGAAGGAAAGTTTAAATAAAGAATTTATTTCCAAATTCAGCAGAACTTTTTTTTTTTTTTTTTTTTTTTAGACCGAGTCTTGTTCTGTCGCCCAGGCTGGAGTGCGGTGTCACAACCTTGGCTCACTGCAACCTCTGCCTCCCGGGTTCAAGGGATTCTCCTGCCTCAGGCTCCTGTGTAGCCGGGATTACAGGCACACACCACCATGCCCAGCTTATTTTTGTATTTTTACTAGAGACGGGGTTTCACCATGTTGGTCAGGCTGGTCTCAAACTCCTGACACCTTGTGATCCGCCTGCCTCGGCCTCCCAAAGGGCTGGGATTACAGGCGTGAGCCTCTACGCCCGGCCAGACCTTCTTTCTTTCTTAAAAAGCCAACTGGGTTAAAAAAGATCCAAGATTGTGTTTTTTGGTGGTGCAATAATTATAACTGTTGCCAGTCAATGCCAGCCAGTGTCTGATTGGCTTCCTGTGCACGTCCAATTTCCTCGGTGACACTGTGTTGGTGCCAGAGCTTCTGAATCTTCTTGAATCGCTCATTGCATAAATGTAAAGGATTTCCCCGTCTAGAAAGAAGACACATGTCAGTCAGAATGTGTTCTGTTTATTCATCTATTGTAACCTTCCTGATTTAGGGAAGGTTACAAGTTCTTGGTTTTAGACTCCCTGCAAAATTTTGGTCTGGCAGGCGACTGTGGCTATGAACAAAAATATCAGCTCTGACCGTTTGCCAAGAGCAGGTGAAAGGGAATAAGTGCTGGCAAGAGGAGGGAAAGGTACACAAACCATACTTACCCAGAGTGAGGTAAGGGAATAGAGGGTGGTGGGGAATGAGGAGGGTCCGGGTTGAGCAGCGAAAACTACTAATTATTTGTCCATTTTGTTGGTAACATGTAAAAAGGAAAGGGCATAGAGGAGAGGGTGAAAGGAGCATTATACAAGTACAAATGTTACTCATTGATTTTGCTAAGAGTGCAAAGGAAAGGAAAGGAAAGAAAAGAAAAAATGTTTCTCAGATGCAATCTTTCAGCCACAAAGTCTCAGTGAAGCAATCAAATGTGAATAACTTCCAGGTCCGATTTAAACACAAGTATAAGCTTTGGTGGGTTCCTGCCTGGGACCAGGGCCCTGGGCACAGCCATCCTCTCACTCATTAACAGGGCTCTCCTCCTCCTAACAGCCCACGCCGAGAACAGTGGGAGACACCAGCACTGGGTGGCACATGGGCACAGCCTTGGAGTCCAGCGCCTGGGGCAGCTCATCTGCTTACCTTGCTTGGGTTTCTGGGCCTTCAACATCTGCTACTCAAGGCCGGACAGGCGTATCTATGGAGGTTAAAACTTACACCTCCTTTAGACAAAAGAGATGGTCTAAAAGAAGTTCTTTATAGTGCTTGAGGGAATTGCTGGTAGCTTATAATATACAAAAGCTACCAGAGCAGAAGTAACTTAGCCTCAAATAGTTATATTGTTCCATATGTTTTAAATCTTTGTCCCCCAGATTTTAATGTAATAAGCACATTTGTTAGCAATTAAGATTTTCTCAGACACTGGGCCTCCTCTATACAGGGCCACACAAGTCAGAGTGGGCCATCCCTGGAGTGCTCCGAGCTGGGATGAAAATTTGGCAATTCAAACCGGTTCCTTAGAGTGATAAATGGAATAAGGTTGCTCTGTCCTGTTCTCTTCCCTTACTTAACCTCATGTTCCTCGTGGCATTCTGAAGGCTAGGAAAAGAACACCAAACCAGGCAGCAGGGCACCCTCCCTGAAGACTCCACAGGTAACACAACCACCTCTTCCAGAACCACCTCAGCCCTCCGCCCTCAGGACGTCACCAATTACTGAAGGGCTCTGCAGGCCTCGAATCAGCTAACTCAGGATGGGTCCTTACCTGAGTCCGTGGTCGGTCTCCCCATAGTCATCAAGGTAAGGAGGAGAATAAAAACAGCCTTTGGTTTTGCCAGCTAAAAATAGCACCTGACACTCCCGTACTCTGTAGAGAGAGCATTCGTACATTACAGAGTTACACATTAGTAACCAATGTCTGTATTCAGTTCCAAATAGAATGAAGTCTTACAGTACTGATATTTTAACCACTATATAGGGAAGTTATCCATTAAAAAACTGTGGGCAAATTAGGAATTAGGTTGAATCGAGACACATTTTTGTGTCCCCTGATCCCTTTGAGAGACTTACCTGTTTCTGGCATTAACAGTTCAGCTCAATTAAACAAATAATTATTGAGGACCTCCTATGTGTAAGAACTTGTCAAGGTACTGGGGTGATGACTAAAGTACAGATACAATCAATGCTCCAGAGGAGCTCACACTCATGTCATGTCACTGCTTCAAACCCTGAAATGGCTTCCACCTCCCCAGAGATGTCACCAGCACACAGCAGGCCCCTGGATTCTTTCACCTGTGCACAACACTCCAGTGACACGAGCCTCCTTGCCCTGAGCGGGCAGGCACATTTCTACCCCAGCAACTGTGCACGAGCCCCTCCCTGCCTAGAATGTTCTCCCACTTCTTTAGGTCTTTACTCAGAAGTCATGCTCTTAGGAAGCCTTCCCTGATCTACTAAAATTAAATCTCGCATTTAGCTCCACAGCCGCCATTTCATATTCCCCTCTGTGCTTTACTTTTCTCCTTGGCCTATAGCGCTATCTACCTAAATTCTTCTCAGTCTTGCTTATCTTCTCTCTCATTAGAAAATGAGCTCCATCCATGAGGGCAGAGACCTTTGTCTGCACTGTGGGCGACTGCATTCTCAATGCCTAGTACCTGGTAGTCACTAAGCACAGGCTGACCTTCAGAACTGTGATAATATATATGAATGGAGGTAAAATCCAAAAGCCATGAAGACACAACAGATAAAATAATTCTGACTGGATTGGACAGAAAATCGGGAAGTTTCACGTTAGAGGGAGACATGAAGAAAGTAGAACAGAACTGTCGCCTGGGGCGGGGGGCAGAGGAGTGGGAATGATGATAATGAAAGAACCAATACAGAGTTGGCATGGGCCAGATGTGAGATGTGAGGAGACGAGGATCTCCATGTTTCTCCAACAAATCAAACACAGAACAGTGGTCTCAAAACTCTTGGTAATATAGTAGTTTCTTGTGACACCTCAACAGTCAGATACTGAGGCAGATCCAAAGCTAAAAAGCCCCCTGCAGGTCCTTACCTCAGGAAGATGCCCACCCCAGAGCCGCAGGAGTAGGTGTGAGCTGTGCAGGCTCCTACATCCTCCCCCTCCAGTTCAGTCTGGCAGCAGTAACTCTGGGAGCACAGCAGTGATCCACACACAAGGCACAGAGTTGGGGCTCTGCTCTTATCACCACCTGATTTGGGGCACCTTTAAGGGACAAAAAACCCATGAGTCATTGCTCTAAAGAGTGGCTAAAGAGCTAGTGATGAAAAAACCAGCCCAGAAAAGAATTCTGCGGTGTCAAGTAGAACCAAAGAAGCATATATCCTACAGTCTACGCCAATTTATTCCTAGAATCAGGAATAGGAAACACCCTGCACATGTACACAAAGACTATGTGCTGGAAACAAAGAATCAACAAGTGGAGAAAAAAAGTAAAATCATCAATAGAAGAAAAAGATAAATCGTGCCATTGTCATACAATAAAATACTATAGAGCCCTGAAAAATCAATAAAGTTATACATGTCAAGACAGACAAATCTTAGAAACAATGCTGAGTGAATGCAAAATCGGTTGGGTGCCATGGCTCACATCTATAATCCCAGTCCTTTGGGAGGCGAAGGCATGTCAGGAGTTCAAGGCTAGCCTGACCAATATGGTGACACTCCTTCTCTACTAAAAATACAAAAATTAGCCAGGCATGGTGGTGTGTGCCTGTAGTCCCAGCTACTTGGGTGGCTGAGAGAGGAGAATCAGTTGAACCTGGGAGGCAGAGGTTGCTGTGATCCAAGATCATACCACTGCACTCCAGCCTGGGCGGCAAGAACAAAACTCCATCTCAGAAACAAAACAAAAACATGCAAAATAATATAATATATGCTGCTTAGGAATAGAAACCTATGTAGTTAATGTATAGGAGTGGAAAGCTTAATATTCCATTTAGAATAATAGGTATCTTCAGAGGGAGGACGAAGAGGCAACAAAGAAGACACAGCTGGGGAGATGCAACTTTCTAGGTAATGTTTAAGTTCCTACATTGTTAAATTCTTTTTTTTTTTTTCTTGAGACAAGGTCTCCCTGTCACCCAGGCTGGAGTGCAGTGGCACCATCATGGCTAACTGCAGCCTCCACCTCCTGGGCTCAAGTGATCCTCCCACCTCTGTCTCCCATATTATATTGTTCTTCATGCTGCTTGTATGTTAAACATTTAACACTATATTAAAAATTACTCCCGGGTGCAGTGGCTTACGCCTGTAATCCCAGCACTCTGGAAGGTGACGGTGAGTCAATAACTTGAGGTTAGGAGTTTGAGACCAGCCTGGCCGACATGGTGAAATTCTGTCTCTACTAAAAATACAAAAATTAGCTGAGTGTTGTGGTGTGTGCCTATAATCCCAGCTACTCAGGAGGCTGAGGTACGAGAGTCACTACAATCTGGGAGGTGGAGGTTGCAGTGAGCCAAGGTTGCACTACTGCCCTCCATCCCTGGGTGACAGAGCAAGACTTGGTCTCAAAAAACAAAACAAAACAAAACAAAACAAAATTACTAAGGGCTGTTATTGCTTTAAGCACAATTATTATTTAGATAAACACTCACGAATCAAATTTGCTTCTCCTGCTCCCATTGTATGACTTATTCTGAAACATAGTGAAATGATGCTTTTATAAGTTACACAGTACAGAGTACTACAGATGTGATTCTTTCTTTTTTTTTTGAGATGGAGTTTTGCCCTTTGATCTTGTCACCCAGGCTGGAGTGCAATAGCTCGATCTTGGCTCACTGCAACCTCTGCCTCCTGGATTCAAATGATTCTCCTGCCTCGGCCTCCCGAGTGGCTGTGATTACAGGTGCCCACCACCACGTCTGGCTAATTTTGTATTTTTAGAAGAGATAGGGTTTCACCATGTTGGCCAGGCTGGTCTCGAACTCCTGACCTCAGGTGATCCACCCACCTTGGCCTCCCAAAGTGCTGGGATTACAGGCATAAGCCACCAAGCCTGGCCAAGTTTCTTTTTTTTTTTTCCCCCTTTTTCTCCTTCCCCCCTCTCATAAAGTACTAAAGATGTTATGATTTTTCTACTCAAACAAAACAAAGAACAACAACAAAATCCTTCAAGTTCTTTGTAGAGAGGTGTTTCCAGTGGCAGGGAATGTTCAATGCTAATAGCAAAACTTACGAGAAATTGGATGCTTGATTAATGAGGCTGCTGTAATCCTCTGGAAGGTCTATTAATTTGTTAGATTCTCTTGGATATCTGAAAACAAGGGAAAAATTAAAAAATGCTCCATTAATTAAGGTCATATTATATTATGAGGCACTTCATGTGCACACCTGCCTAGCCTGGGCAACACAGCGGGGCCTTTCACTACTTTATCTATTGGCAAGATAAGAAATGGAGTTAAACTGAAGGGTGGATTATTTTAGACAGGAGTTCTTAATCACACCAAAATCACTTGGGGAATTTTGAAGGGATTCGCTAGGGCTCTAACTTTAGAGAAATTACAATTCAGTAGGTAGTGGCCTGGGTATTTTTTCAAAAGTTCCCAAGGTTATTCTGATGTATACTTCTGGTTGAGGATTATTGTTACGTTTATTAAGAGTTTTCTGAGGTCAGAGTGGAATCACATGAAATTGGTGATATTCAACCATTTCTGACTTATAAAAGCTGACATTTCATGTGGTCCAACTAATAAAATTGGGGTGTTATTTCTGGATGTGTAAAAGTAACAAACAGGACAGATAATCTCCTCTAGTCTTCTGACTTTTATGGATGATGTACTTACCAGAACCAAGAGATAGAGGTTGAGTATTCCTTATCTGAAATGCTCAGGACCAGAGTGCTTTGGGTTTTGAATTTTTTTGGAGTTTGGAATATTTGCATTACTTCTATTTGGATTCTATAGAAAAGCACGCTCTACCATATCATAACAAATGCATCTCAATTGTTAATCCAGGTTGAGTATCTCTAATCTTAAAACCTGCAATCTGAAATGCTCCAGAATTGGAAACTGTTTTTTGTTTTTAAAGATGGGGTTTCACCATGGTGGCCAGGCTGGTCTTGAACTCCTGACCTCAGGTGATCCACCCACCTCAGCCTCCCAAAGTGCTAGGATTACAGGCGTGAGCCACTGCACCCGGCTGGAAACTTTTTGAGTGCCAAGATGATGCTCAAAGGAATGCTCATGGGAACATTCTGAATTTCAGATGTTTGGATTAGAGATGCTTGATCTGTATAACAACAATTGAGACACATTTTGTTAGGATCTGGTAGAGCATACTTTACTACAGAATCAGAATAGAATTAATGTAAAAAGAAATGAAGAAAAAGCGACGATTAAGAAGTGACTGGCCATGTGACTGATAGGTATTGAAGGTGAGTGGCAAGCATGTGGAGCCTCATTATTTCACTCTTCATACTTCTGGAGAGCTTTCCCATAATGAAAGATAGAAAAAAAATAGAGCTAAGAGAAACCTAGGCGATGCTTTATAGTTTTTTAGAGCAAATATTCTAAAATATAATAACTTGGTAATTTGCTTCCTCTGCCAAGAATAATGTAGTATATTTATGTTCATAATTCTGACTTTCACAGACTCTCATCATTACATTAAGAAAAAAAATAAAGGCAACATATCTTAACCTTTTGGAATCACTGAGGGCTTGAGAAGTTAGTTTCTGAAGGAATACAGCATTTATGTCCTGATTCCACCCTTTCTCCCACCCCAATCAAGTTTTTGAGGATCTTTAACTTACCTTATAGCATCTCTTTCACCTTCTAGATATCTTTTAACTTCACTGTTATGACACCAACTTTAATGAAAACAGAGGTGGAAAAACGCAACACAATTTTACTTTTAAAGGGTTAGAACCAGAATTTTTTCCCCTCCATAGCCAATAAGAGGAAAATAATATTCTTAACCTATTTACTTCATCAAAAGAAACCTGGAGAAATACTATTTTGACTACAACCTTTAAAATCAGGAGAATATTTTCTAAAAGTAAGAATGCTTAATATATTAAAAATTGTGGCTATAAACATCATTATCTTACTAATTTGGATACTCTAGAAAAACTAGTCTATATTAACCTATATTAATGCCAAGTTAACATTATCTGGAGCTAAAACATTCATATTAAAAATAAAACTTTTTTGGCCAGTTGCTCACACCTGTAATCCTTGCACTTTGGGAGGCTGAGGCAGGGAGATTAAAGATTACCTGAGCTCAGGAGTTCGAGACCAGCCTGGGCAACATGGCAAAAGCCCTTCTCTACAAAAAATACAAAAACTAGCTGGGTGTGGTGGCACGTGCCTGTAGTCCCAGCTACTTGGGAAGCTGAGGTGGGAGGACTGCTTGAGCCCAGGAGGATTAGCTGTGACTGTGCCACTGCACTCAAGCCTGGGTGACAGAGATGACACATGTGGAAAAATACATGTAACATTAAAATGACCATGTTAATCACTTGCAAGTCGAATGTTCTGTAGCACTAAGTACATTCATATTGTGCAACCAGCACCACTATCCATTTCCAGAACTTCTTCATCTTTCTCAACTGAAACTCAGTACTCATTAAATGCGAAATTCCTTCTCCCAGTCCCTGGCTGCCACCATTTTTCTTTCTGTTTGTAGGAATCTGACTGCTCTAAGTACCTCACTGAAGTGGAATCATACAGTTTGTATCCTTTTGTGACAGGCTTATTTCACTTGGCACACATCCTCAAGGTTCATCCATGTTGTAGCATGTATCAGAATTTCCTTTACTTTTCTGAGACAGAGTCTTGCTCTGTCACTCAGGCTGGAGTGCAATGGTGCAATCTTGGCTCACTGCAACCTCTGCCTCCCAGGTTCAAGCAATTCTCCTGCCTCAGCCTCCCAAGTAGCTGGGACTACAAGCGTGCGCCACCACACGTGACCTACTTTTAAGACTAAATAATATTCCATTATGCGTATGTACACACACCACATTTTTTGCTTCCATTCATCTGTTGATGGACATCTGGGTTGTTTCCACCTTTTGGCTACTGTGAATAATGCTGCTGTAAACATGGGTGTATAATAATGTGGATGTGAGTTCCTGCTTTCAGTTATTTTGTAATCTGTGCCTAAAAGTGGAATTGCTGGATCATAAGGTAATTTTATGTTTATCTTTTTGAGGAACTGTCATGCTGTTTTCCATAGTGGCTCTATCATTTTCCATATCCCATGCACAAAGATACCAATTTTTCCACATCCTTGTTAACACTTGTTATTTTCTTTTTTAAAAGAAATAATGGCCCATCTACTGGGTGTGAAGTGGTATCTTACTGTGATTTCTGCAGTGACTAGTGATGTTGAGCATCGTTTCATGTGTTTTTTTTGGCTATTAGTATATCTTCTTTGGAGAAATGCCTATTCGAGTCCTTTGCCTATTTTTTAATCTTTTTTTGTTGTTGTCGTCAAGTTGTAGGAATTCTGGATACATATAGTCTGGATTTTTTCTTTTGATACAGGGTCTTGATCTGTCATCCAGGCTATAGTGGTGTGGCACACAGCTCACTGTAGCCTCGAACTTCAGGGCTCAAGTGATCCTCCCACTTCAGTCTCCTGACAGGTGCACGTCACCATGCTTGGCTAATTTTTAAATTTTTTGTAGAGGTGGGGGTCTCCCCATGTTACCCAGGCTGGTCTTGAACTGCTGGGCTCAAGTGATCCTCCCACCTCTGCCTCCCAAAGTGCGGGGATTACAGGGGTGAGCCACTGTGCCTGGCCTATTCTGGATATTAGTTCCTTATCATATACATGGTTTGCAAATATTTTCCCCCATTTTGTGGACAGAACAGCCATATATTTAACTCAGTCACTAACTTGACATGATTGACAGGCCAATTTCTCTAGACTTCACAGTTTTCTCAAACATAAAATTGAGGGTACTGGACTAGCTAGCCTTAAGTGTTTTCTCAGCTTTAAAAATCTATGAAAAACTGAGTGTGATGGCATGTGCCTGTAGTCCCAGCTACTCAGGAGGGAGGCTGAGGTGGGAAGACTATCTCAGCCCAGGAGTTCAAAGGCGGCAGTCAGGAAAAAAATGGCAAAACCCTGTCTTTTAAAAACAAAAAACCTATGGAAGAAAGCCCTTAACAAGTAAGTTCATGTAAGGAAATAAACATTTCTACCACTATTCCCCTTCCATGGATATTTGTTTATGCTATTCACTAACTTGGCCAAAATTTTACCGAAAAGCCAGATCCTTAGCTAAAAAGGGCCTACTCATAAGCCAGGTGCAGTGGCTCATGCCTGTAATCCCAGCACTTCGGGAGGCTGAGGTGGGTGGATCATTTGAGGTCAGGAGTTCAAGACCAGCCTGACCAACATGGTGAAACCACATCTCTACTAAAAATACAAAAAAAATTAGCCAGGTGTGGTGGTGTATGCCTGCAATTCTAGCTACTCAGGAGGCTGAGGCAGGAGGATTGCTTGAACCCAGGGGATGGAGGTTGGAGGTTGCACTGAGCCGAGACTGCACTACTGCACTCCAGCCTGGGTGACAGAGCAAGACTCTGTCTCAAAAAAAAAAAAAAAAAAAAGGCCTACTTATTACAGCTTGAGTTATTTGTGTTGAATTCTATCAGGATCGCTATTTGAGAATTTTGCTAGGAATGTGATAACTAAAGTTTGGTTCCATAGAACTATTTAATACAACGAAGAAAAGTGTATAATCATTACCTTTCAATCAGTGAATTCATTATCTCACTATTTTCTTGAAAAAGGCAAATGAGGTTGCTTGGTAGGGAAAGATAGTTACATAAATGTTCAAAATGGCTTGTTCCAGGAACTGCAAATGAAGAACAAGAAAAGAGTGCATATAACTAAGAGCATGTTCCGAATGAGAGTTAAGCAATAGCAGAGCTGAAAAAAAAAGGATGAAAGAATTCAAATCTGCCAGGTACGTAACCTGTAGGAAGTCAACAGAATGACATGTGGAAGGAATCCATGGAAAATGGCACAATGCATAGAGTGCAGTCAGGCGACTGGTCCCAATGTCTTGGTGTCTCAGCTTTATCATTTGTAAAATTGTGTGCCTGCACAATCTATTGCACAGGGTTATTGTGAACATTAAATGATAAAAATAATGTATGGGGGTTCTGGAAAAGGACCAAGCAATACATAAATACAAGATGGTTTTACCATGAGACATGGATTTAAATACCAACTCTAATCATCACTGCAAATAATATGGAAGACTAAACTCTTTATATGATTCCGGGGCAACTAACTGAATGGAAATGCCAGTCAACACACTTCCAGAGAATAGCACTGCATCCAGGCACCGTATGGCCAGGGCCAGGCACCGTGAGAATACAGAGATACAGTCAAGTCCACCTTTATGAAATGAATGAAAACAGGACATGGAAAACAACTATGAAAGAGCAAATCAATTCCCACATTAAAATCAGATTTATGTGCAATGAATTATGGGTATGCTAAATTAACACTATGCATGTTTCAAGTTAAAAATCACTTGAAATTGTCAGTTTTCACCTTTTCAAATCTGAGAAGGCTTGTTTATGAATAGTATATAATTGAACATTTTAACATCTGAAAGCAAAACTAAGATCTTTACGGAAGAAGTGCTTTGCAGGTGTAAAAACATTTACACAGAAGTTTAACAGTCATTTGCTGAGACCCAAACAAAAGGAGACATATACATAAACATATGTTTTATTCTATAAATGTGTACATCACCATAGTCAATTAGCTATGCTTTGAACTTTTAGTCAATTTTCATTTTTGCAAGTGATCTTTATATTTGCTGAAGTAAAGGATTACAAACTATTCCTACATTTTGAAAGAAAGTATAAATTACCTTGAATATCGGGTGGGGAAGGAACGCCATTTAAGTAATGAAAAAACAAAGCAGAACACTTCAGGAAAGGCATGATTCCAGCTCTGACACTCCTCCACAGATGCCAGCCAGATGGTATTTCTTTCAAGGCACTAAAAAAAAAAAAAAAAAAAGACTACTGGGAAATCTAAGAAAAGGTCACCGTACTAATAACATAGAGTGAAAACAGAGTTGACGGTCGTTTGGAACTGATGGCATGTATGCTTAAAAAGAGTGGGTTAATAGGCAAGTAGTTGCATGTTACTGTAGGATTCCAGGTGTAAGTGGTGACACAGCCTCCAATGCTGTTACTAAAATTTATCAAACTAATATAGTAACGTAAAGAGAAAATGTGGAAAATGAAAAGTTGTCTAGGATGGACTCAAACTACTGGGTTCAAGCAATCCTCCTACCTCAGCCTCTCGAGCAGCTGGGACTACAGGACATGCCACTGCACCCAGCTCTTATAAGCCACATTTTAAATAGATTTGTAATATTTTGGAACACATCCATCACTATCTATATCAAACTATTCCCCTGCAAACACTTAGACTGCTTTCAATTCTTTGTTAATATAAATAACTTCAGAGTGTACATCTTTTTCTTTTTGAGACAAGGTCTCACTTTGTTGTCGAGTCTGGAGTGCAGTGGTGCGATGATGGCTCACTGAAGCTTTCACTGCCCTGGGTGATCTGGCTACTTCAACTTCCTGAGAAGACGGGACTACAGGCACATGCCACCATGCCCGGCTAATTTTTGTATTTTTTGTTTCGCCATGTTGGCCAGGCTGGTCTCGAATGCCTGGGCTCAAGCAATCTGCCGGACTATAGTCTTGAGCCATGGCACCTGGCTGGAGTGTCCATCTTTATATGCCTATATGGTTTTTTTCTATGTGTTGAATTATTTTGTTAACGTAGGTTCTCAGAAATGGGATACTTTAGTCAAAAAATGGATATTTTAATAATTCTTGACTTGACAGATTTTTTTTTTTTTTTTTTTAGACAGAGTCTTGCTCTGTCACCAGGCTGGAGTGCAGTGGTGTGATCTTGGCTCACTGCAACCTCTGCCTCCCAGGTTCAAGTGATCCTCCTGCCTCAGCCTCCTGAGTAGCTGGGACTACAGGTGCCTGCCACCACACCCAGCTAATTTTTGTATTTTTAGTAGAGACAGGGTTTCCACATATTGGTCAGGCTGGTCTCGAGCTCCTGACCTTGTGATCTACCTGCCTCAGCCTCCCAAAGTGCTGGGATTACAGGTGTGAGCCACCGCGCCCAGCCTACAAGTTCTTGATATATACTGTTGAAAGCTAAGCAAACCACTGAATTGCTATTTGTAGCAAATCATGACTCTAACCATACATGAAATTCTAATAATTTCATTTTATTCCTGCCACTACTGAATATTACCTTAAGAACAAATTATGTCAATTTAATTTGCAGTTTTAAATTCCCATTCCCAATGAGACAACATAAGTTGTAGAACAGCAACTTTCCAAAGTACATTTGATTTAGCCTCTAGTCTGTGTCAGATCCTCTGAGCAAATGAAGGGTTCCACAGCCAAATAAATGTGGGAAGCTCTGCATATCATCACCTTTCTCCCAGATTTCTAATTATGTTAGTATATGAACAGCTCAGACAAGTCCTGCAGATCACTCCACATCTTTTTTTAAAAATATGTCAACAGACAACAATTTCCCCGAATTAACAAACGAATTCCTTTCTTATGCTATCATCATTTAGCAATATTTAGGGAAACGTGTATTATATAAAGACAACTAACTCACCTTCCCGTATACTGGTGAAGTGTTTTATACAAAGCAAGAACTGCTGATTCTTCTTCACAAGTGGGATTTTCTTGATCCATGCCATTCTCTTCTGAAAGATAAGGAAATACTAGTACTCTGTATTTTCCAGTTAAGTGTTGTCAAAAGGACTGAAGACAGTAAGCATGCAAACATATTCATAAACTCACATATAACATGAAATATTCCCAGAAAACATGCAAAATTTTAATCCCTCAAGTGGGAGCACAGCACTGATCTCCATCAAACCAAACAGCCAGCTGGCATGTTTTAAGTAAAATCAAATAAACATATTGTCTTAAAGTATATGAAAAACAGGAATTTTGAATGTAAAACATAATTTAATGATGAACTCGTGGGCATTAACAAATGTAAGTTAAAAATAAAACTGGCAATCTAAAACATAAGATTCTAATCGATTTAATTACTATCCTACACATTACTGAACTTATAAAATTAAAAAAAAAAAATAGAAACATTCACATTACCAGGAAATTTCAATAGGCGAAAGAAATGTTTCAAAACTTTTCATATGAGGATACACAGGATAAAGCAGCCTAATTATAATTCATCTATTATTTTTATCCAAATATCTTTTCCTCTAATACTTTTTTTTCTTAAACTCTGAAAACCCAAGTATTTCCTTCAAGAAGCTGACAAAAAGGCAAGATTTACCTGTACATGAGGTAAGTAAGATCTGTATGATGTGTGCCATAGTAACCAGATGGAAAATGTGAAGGTCTCCAGTGCCAAGGCTGATCCCTGAAAAATCCTGACACTGCAACGCAGGGAAGGCGAGCACCATGCCCACCTAGGCATCAAACACAGGACATCAGACAGATCGCCCTTCCTTTCACTGCTAAGCATATGTCCATCTTCTTACTTTTACTTCTGTTTTGATTTTTTTTAAGACAGATTCTCACTCTGTTGCCCAGGGTGGAGTGCAGTGGCGTAACCTCAGTTCACTGTAACCTCCACCACCTGGGTTCAAGTGATTCTCCTGTCTCAGCATCCTGAGTAGCTGGGATTACAGGCATGCATCATCATGCCCGACTTTTTGTAATTTTAGTAGAGTCAGGGTTTCACCGCATTGGCCAGGCTGGTCTCAAACTCCTGACCTCAGGTGAACTGCCTGCCCTGGCCTCCCAAAGTGCTGGGATTATAGGCGTGAGCCACCACACCCAGCCACATTTCCATTTTCTTACTGTGATCTCTCCTGAGTTCAGCTTCTCCCTTTAAGAAATCTTTGCTCTTAAAGAAAGGGTGTACATATTAGAAAATCCAACAGGACTGGCTACATGAAAAGACTTAAGAGTTACAGGACTCTTGGTGGGCACTATGACTTCATTAATCCAGTAGGTCCCCTATACATAGCTTACTGTTAATAATAATAAAAACAACATTTGAACTCTTTCCAGGGAGTAGGCACTTGAAAAAACATGGGTTTTGGACGCACAAAGATCTAGATATGAATCCTACCTCCTCCTCTTCTGAGCTTTTTTACACAAATTTACTCTGATCAGGCCTCAGTTTTCCTACTGGTGAACTAGAGATAATACGTTCGTGTAAACAGTAGAGATGTAAGTGTGAATGTACGTAAAAGCTGACGGGTGCACAAATGCTAGCTTTAGCTTTGTTGGCCTCTTGCTAGCTGTATGGCAGTATAAGTGGTGGTGGTATTAGTCGCAGCAATGAGAACAGTAATAGCCAGCATTTATTAGGAATATATTGCTCTAAGTGCTTTACATGGATTAACTCATTGAGTTCTGACATAGTCATATGAAGTAGGCACTAACCAACTTAAAAGGCGCAGAATCTGAGATCCAGAGAAGGGGACAGCACTTGGGGCTGCTGGGTGTGGTGGCATACTCTGTATCCTGTGCAAGGGAACCCAGTTGAGGTGGGGCTGAAATTTGGTCACCCACTATTTGGATAGCTGTGTGTCTTAGCACCAGGATGTACCGGCTCAGAAGATGTACCTTTCCCTGAATTATAAGGGGGTGTCTGCTGCTAAGTAGTGTGGCCACAGGGCTGTATCTGCCAGATTTTCAACAAAATGTACAAAAGCACTGTATGGGCCAGCAGCAGGGCTTCTGGTTTTTTTTTTTTTTTTTTTTTTTTTT